GCGAGGGTTTCTCCAGGGGAGCGGCTGCGATTTATATCCATGCACGTAAAAAGACTAAAAAGCCCTCGGCGGGGTTTAAAATTTACAGGCGGTGGCAGCAATTTAGGGACGACGTTGAGGGCTTCGTTTTAGGGGCGACGTGGAGGGGTTCGTTCTGCCTAGCAGTCTAGGAGGGTTTATATGTTCAATTACAGGCGGTGGCAGCAATTTAGGGACGACGTTGAGGGCTTCGTTTTAGGGGCGACGTGGAGGGGTTCGTTCTGCCTAGCAGTTTAGGAGGGTTTATATGTTCAATGTGCACCTGCTTCACATCGCATTTGTCCCAAGAAAACTCATTTTTATTTCCAACACGTCAACTCACCATCAAGAGTATGCAGATCATCATCTCTTTCTCTCTCATACAGCTCTCTTTGCCACTGACCTGTGCGTACGAACATGCATCTAGCCGGGTGGACGGCAATAACTAAAGGTGGAGCATTTACCCCTGCATAGGTTAGTTGGCCAGTTTGAGAGCCGTAGTAAATGCTCAAACCAGCTCCAGGACAGCATGTGTACTGTAAATACACGCCTCTCCATCGCTTACATGTAGGCCTGCTTTACAGAACCTCTGTATAAAGATACACTCAATTTACTGCATGACGGCCACCGACAGCCAGACAAGTCCACTCCATTGCATACAAATTATTAAAATACACTGCAGGTACATTTTTTCATTAATTCAAACTCATACCTAAGGTGAAACGACAGCCACTTAACACATCCTACTAATACATTGCATGCAAGTTAAACAAGTGGCTAGGTCTTAATCTTCTTGCTCCAGATGCTGTCAACCTCATCTTCACTTGCATACCAGGCTCCTTTTGGACTTCCAGACACTGCATCATCTTCAGTACTACATGGCTCGCAATCAGGTTTCTTAATGACAACCTTGCCATCAGTATCGACCTCACCCCATCCTTCGTTACAACCAACCTTCAGAAAACGCATACTAGACGCACTCAGACTCACCAGTAAATCCCCCTTCATTTTCTTTTCTCCATCTTCTTCCTTAGTACAGAGCCCCAGCACTGGCCTAACCTGTTTGTCATTTCCCACGACGTCAAGCTATATTTATAAATCATACATTCCTTTTGTTTAAATCACTAATTACTTTCTTACCTGCTCTACTTCTGAACCAGAGTAGGTATCTCCTGTCTCAATCATAGCACAAGGTGCCCCTCCTTCCACACTTGCATATGTCTGATACGTACAACTTAGTAAAAGATTGAACAACAGATGAAGAAATTTTTCAAACTAGTATATTGCACGCACCGAAAAGTTCCTGGGACACTTCTTTGATTCAATCGCCATGGCCATGGATACTCTGAATGTTTCACTATCTCTCTCTCTCTCTCTCACTCTCTGTCTTTCTCTCTCTCTCGCTCTCTCTTTCTCTAGAATATGATGAACTTCTGTTGCCTTGGTGACTACTGAAACTTCCTCAGGACTTGGCACGTCCTTATATGGTCAAGCTCGTCCACAGCATTGCCGCCTCTCACACCCAATTCAAAATTCAAAAACCCACGCATTTATTACTCCTCTGCCAACCATACAGCACATGCCTTTTCCGGGCCCTTTCTTGCAGCCTATACCAATCTCATAAACACACTGTAATAATTTTTTTATTCTACTTGTTCATTTTCCCAAAAATACACCTTCTGCGACCATGCAAAATATATAGCCACTGTTTGTTTTATTTTTCAACAATGATTTGTATCCATCCTTGCTGCTGCTCTTACTAATGTAAAGCCTATATCCTAAAATATATATGTCTTACCACTATGACATTCTTACACAACATAATTAAAGAACCAACATAACTTCAACAATTTTGTCTCCATAAGTTTTACAACACAAACTTGTCCAAATGTTTTAAAAAGATCCAATTACAAGTTCATAATCATTTCAGATACATCCTACAGAGGGTACCCCATCGAATGTAGAGTACAAAACTTTTGAACAAGTATTCCTACGATGACCGGCTATGCCACAATTTGTACATGTCGGAATCTTCCTCGGCTTCTGCGGTTCGTTGCCCATTTGAGGGCATGTAGTTCTCTTGTGCCCCTTCCCACGGCAAATTGTGCAAAACCTCGATCGCCTGTCATTTATTTCGTAATTCGGCTTGTCTCTTGCAGTTGTCGGATGACCTCTCATCCTAGGTTTCTTCTTAGGGGGTAACAGGGACATGTCACTTTCTGTATCCATGGATCTTGAAGTTACAACAATATTTGAATCAGCCGTGCTTCGGTCATCCCCCTGTACAGTTGACGATGCCGAATTCGCTTGAATGGTCCCATTAGCATCGACTGATGATTTCCCATCCCCTCCTATCGTTCTTGCTTTTGCATTTCTCCATTCAATTTTCCCAGCACTTGACGCAGCTTCATCATCAATATATTGCTTCTGACTACCCTTCCAACCACCAGATTTACCAATAGAAGAAGACTTGCATGCCTTCTTTTTATCAATTAGACTCATTCCATCTTTTAGATTACTTAGTGGCAAAGCTCCCTTCTTCAATTCTGCCAGCCCGCTCATGACATAATCAAAAGCCTCTGGATTGCTATCACCCATCATAACCAATTCCAGGGCCGAGATGTACATAGCATTGTGCCTGAAAGTGGTGCAATCAGGTAGGCCTACATCTTTTTGATAGTGCTTCAGATGATCTGGAAGGATATCACGCACATCTACTGTCCATCTTTTCAGTATGTGCTTCCGTGGTATCTCATTCAATCCCAACACTATCATCACCTGTTTTTACAAATCATGTGCAAAGTCAGGAATGGACAAAAAAAATGAAATACCTACTTTGAAATCATATGTACACACCTTTAGTGCATGGCAACAAATCATCCCCATATGCTCAAAGAGTCCACACTCACAACTGAAGAAATCTCTGAATTCCGAAACAACCACCTTGTATCTGCTCTTGTACCATTTCTTCCTCTATTCCGCCTTCACATGTGTTGCCAGGTACTCAGTCCTTGGAACTAATTCTTCGATGTAATAAGATCCAGAGTAGTAAAGACTTTTTTGCAAACAGCTCAAACATGGCCCGAGTATACACCGTGCTTGCATGTCGTTCAATTGGTATGTCAACTTTTAGGACTACTCCTGCCTGTGCAACGATTGCAAACCTGATTCAACCTTGCTTAGACACAGTACAATATATTAAAACAAGCTTGCTTATCTTACCAATTTGGTCCTTTTTTCTTGGAAACCTTCTTCTTGCTCTCTATCAAATAGTACTTTTGCATACTGCTTCACAAAAAGATTCATTGGGCATGCTGGAGGAACATAATTTTTAAGCATGTGATTTGCGCTCTCACTCCTTTGTGTGCTCGTCATTTTTGCACAAAATTTACCAGAAAAATATGGCTTCGCCCACTTCCGCCTCACCTCAAAAATTTGTGTAAGGAATGTATTGCTCTGCAAACTGTATTTCTTCATAATCTCCACCCACCCCTTCTCAAACTCTCCGATAGTTAGCATGTGGTTCACCAATCTATGCAATTCTGCTCGGAAGTCACTCTTCTTTGTATAATGAAAACCCAAACTCTCTTTAGCCTTACGAAGAATATGCCACTTGCACCAACGGTGTGTTGTATCTGGCCAAACATTCTCAATAGCAATCTCCATCGCCCTTGCTTGGTCTGCTCAGATTTATAATAAAAAACAATACTAACAGAAATTCTATATGTACTACTGATCATATTCATTTCATGTAGCAGGAAATAATTCATTTGTGAACTTTTCATATCGAAAACAAACAAAGAAAATTACCAGTTAGAATAGTGACCGGAACCTTTCCTCCCATCATCTTCACAAATTCATGGAAAACCCATTCGAAAATTTCTGACTGCTCGTCCCTCATAAGAACGCCAACAAAAATAGTGCTCTGGAAATGATTGTTGACACCTACAAACAGCCCAAATGGCATGTCGTACATGTTTGTCTTGTAAGTAGTGTCAAATGTCACTGCATCTCCGAAATAGTGGTATTGCAATTTACTTCTTCCATTAGACCACAACAATGTCCTGATCCTGCTTTCATCATCCACTTGAACTGCGTAAGAAAAATCACTATCTTTCTCTTTCATCTCCGAGAAAAGTTCTATTGTTTTACGCACATCGTCATCAGCTTGTTCTCTACTAATTTTCCCACACAGTGTACGCAAGCACCTTTTGGTGAATGGGACGTTCTCAATCCTCCCAAAATAGGTTCCAATGATGTTGTACACCTTACTAAGATTAACATTATTCTGCCTAAGATGCGCCACCAATTCTCTAGTGTACTTATATATGTGCCTATGCGAAGGAAAATGTAGCTTAGAAGCACAAGTATCAAGCTGTTCATGATTGTGCTCTGTCTTGTTCTCATATATATACCACCCCCCGTCATCAGTTTGTAGTAGCCTCACCATTGCACGACACTTTGTTCTGCATGAACTGCTATTCTCCTTATTCGGTTTCCCCTATTTCAAAACAAATGCAAATGTCACTTTTACACCCGAGCATGCAATCCACACAATCTTTTATGTAATTAATATAAATAAAGTAGTTACTTACCGAACAACTGCAAACAAACTCCTTCATACACCTCGCTCCTTTCACATTAATTCTGCTCTTCCCGTAACGTATGCCAAAGCCACATTCCCATGAATAAAGGTTGTAAAAGTCGTAAGCTTCTGTCAACGAATCATAACTCAATCCTAGATTTGGTGTAATGACTGAAGCAGTTTTCCTTTCAGCAAAACCCCTAATTGCACTTTCAAGTGTTGTAACCCTCTCTGCTTGTATAGTTCTCTCATCGGGCATTGCTCCTCGCCGATGCCTATATAAAACAATTGCATGTGTCACTTTTTTTCCTCACAAAGTTCATTACAAACTGTAAATACTGTTCAAATTACCTTCTA